TAAACTACTTTTCTTCTTGTGGATATTCTGTTTGTTTTGTTTTTTGTTTGTATCTTCTTCATTTTAGTTCTTCTCAGCTGTTAGCATTTTCCCTTTTTCTGGAAAAAAGATTTTTCTTCTTCCCTCATAATTGTCTCCATACCCACTAATTCCTATTTTACTGTTCATTCCCAACTAAGGCGCCTTTCCGAGTGTGTTACTAAGTAACTAAGTGTGTTAGATGCAGCAGGAAGCTTCTACCAGTGGTCAGGCATTTGCTCTACCTGCTTTGCCTGGGTGAAGGGCACATGGTTGATCAACACCCTCACTGCCAGGCTTTCAAGAAAAAGCCCAAGGTGGATTGCTACTGTGTAGCTTTGGAGCAAGGCATTCCTGGCAGTGAATGCCAACAAACTGCCAGAAATAAGTTGCCCTTTTACTTCTAAGGCTCCATTCTCACCTGAGTCTATGCCTTCTGCAGTTCTGGCACTAACCATGGGGCAATCCATGAAGCTGATACCAGGGAGATCCTTGAAGATCTCAGAAGTGAAGAAGTTGGCTAAGCAAAGAAGGAGGCAAAGCTGGGGGAGGCCACAAAAAGGGCCACAAGCAGCGCTTCAAAGAAACACCATCTGGATTCAGCTGGAGACTTCAACACTGAGTGCAACAGAACTGGGACCATGGGTATTGATGCCAAAATGTATTTGAGCTTTGGTATCAGAAGGGGAGATCCAAAATACATCTCTACTTGATCAGCTCCCCTCTGAAGCCTTGGGAGTATGGCAGCTAATTGCTCCTCCTCTGCCACATCTCCAGTCCTCCTCCAGTTTCAGAAGCCATGGGGGATGGGGCCATTCTCCCCTCTTTGATTGGGACAGACACATGGACAGGTCTACAATCACCAGGAACCCTTGTACAATCCTTGGTACCAAAGTCAGTTCTGTCCAGAGCCCTTTGGAAGAGGTGAGCACTCCCTCCACATGGACCACTAACTCCACTGCCACGATCACAGCATCCTGGATGTAATGGGAAGATTCCTCAGCTCTGGCACTCCCAAGTGGCAAGTTACCAGGCTACTTTAGCATGAAACCAGCTTATTTCTGTGGGAAAACATTCTGTAAACATCTGTCAGAGGACCAAAAGGAGCTTGCCTGGGTGTTCAGTTCTGACGTGCTGCATCTCCTGCCTTCAGAGCAACACTGCCAAGCACCAGGCAAATTGTGGCACAAAGGTCATGACTGGCATGATGGCACTTTGGAGGCATACCTGGCTGTGCTTATCTGATCTGCCACAGGAGGGCTGCTCACACATCAAGAATCTGCCTTTGATGGGGAGGGGCTTTTCATTGTGCAGATGGATGAGCAGGTGGATTTAATACAGAAGGCATGGAATATAGCAAAGGGGATGGGGCTGAAACAACACCAGCTGTTAAGACTAAGTAAGTGGTTAGAACCAGCCAAGCTTTGTTCCATTCTCAAACCCCAGTGGATTGAAAGGCTTGACAACAGCTGCCATCACATTCAAGGTATAGCGATGGCTCTAATAAACATTGCTAGGTCCGGAAGCAATTGGATGCTGACAGAAAGCAGTAGTAACTATTTCCCTGGGCCGGCCCCTTTTTAATCTCCCTTTTCATTTGATGGATGTCTACCCATACCTGGATGACTGGCTAATTGTGGCACCCTCCATGAAGGCCCTGATTTGTTCAATCCAGACTGTCTGCACTTCATTAGATAATATGAGCCTGCATAAACATGGGAAAATCTGTTTTTTTTCCTCTTCTCAGTCAATCCTTTCCACTGAGGCACAGCTGAACGCCATCTCAGCAGCAGCATATCTCCCAGAGATAAGAGCATTGGTGCTTATTGAAATGCCTAACCAAAAACTGCAGGATTGTGTCACTGTGCTCTAGATCCAACAGTGCCTCTGGTTCATGGCACCAGACTTTAGATTAGAGATCATGGTATGGCAGCAGTGCTGTTTGCCAGACTTTAGACTAGGGATCTGCAAAGAATCCATTCTTAATGGATTTCCTGGTGTTGGTTTCCCAGAGTCAGAGTTCCTGGTGAGTTCATGTGGTGCTTGCTAGAAATTGAGCCCCATGCACTGTGCGAGCAGCAGTATTCTTTCACACCTGCTGCTGCTGCCAGCAGCAGCAAGTGGGAAAGAAGGTCGGCCACCAGAAATGGAAGTTGGTAAGGATGCCATTGCACAACTGGGGGTCTGTGAGCATGCATGGACTTCGCCTTAGTTTGGCTTGTTTTGCAAGCAGAGGAAGTCTGGATTCTGGAGGGATGGATTCTGAAATTATTTGTCCTCATCTTACTAAAGATGCATCTACTACATCTGTGGATTGTCATACCACCGCATGGCCGATCCTCAGCAAACGCATCTTCAAATGCTGAAAACCATTCAGTCCAGTCATGATTGATGGATACTGTCATGCTCTGTGCCAACAAATGCCAAGTCCCTGTGTTACTTTTAAAAGAAATGGTTAGTTCAGTCCGAAGGTCAAAGCTGTATGGTTTGTGCATCCAACGTTTAAGTCAGACAGCAGTGTCCAAAAGAATGTCCAGGAAGCAAGCCAAAATTTAGAAATCCGATTAGTCTTAAACAAAGCCAAACATGCCGGTAACAATTCTTGTTGTTTGCCACAAAGAGCAGGCTTCGGCTGATCTAATTGATAATCAGCTGTAAATCAGCACAGATGGCTGATTAGGTCAGTGTGTTTTTTGAGGGAGTCTCCACACTCAGTCTGCTTCTTGAACTTCTGCTGGGTCCATTAATTCCTTCTCCTTTCTGTTGGGTAAATAACCTCTGACTCTGGCTGCTGTCCTTGAGGAATTTCAGGGACTTCCCAAGAGCTTCCTGGCTACTCCTCTAATGGAAAGCATTTGGCTGCATCTAACTTGGCTGGGGCCTGCTGTGCTGGCTCTCTTCATCTGAAGAATCCTCCTTCAAGTAGGATGTGATAGACATGCTGCTGCAACTTATCCAAAGGTCTTCCATTTGCCCCTCCCAAGCCAGCCATTATGGTCACAACAGACACCTCCTTGTTCAGCTTGGGAGCCCTTTGGGTCCCATGAAGACCCAAGAAACATGGAATAAAATTGAACCTTCAACCTGATCAGCCATCTGGATATGCCTGCGGTAAAGAAGGCCACATCCCAAATGTTCCTGTTTGTCCATCACGTCCAGATTCCTGCAGATAGCACCACAGCTGTCTTCTACATAAACAAACAGCAAGGTGCTCAGTTGATCCTTTTGACCCATCTAGCCATTTGGATCTGGAACTGGGATGTCAATAGAAACATCACACTCGTGACAATCTGCATTGTCAGGTTCCATCACACATTGGCTGACACAACAAGAGAAATCTCATTACCCATGAATAGCAATTGAGCATTCTGGCACTGAAGAAGATCTTTGGCACAGGGAAACCCCTTCTGTTAGCCTGTTTGCCACGTGGGACAGTACTGTTTGCAAGAGCTTTTGCTCTTGGGCAGGACAGGGCCTCTCTGCAAGAAGCCTTTCTGCTCTCTGATCCAAATCCAAATAACTCTATTAATCCCAAAGACCATTTATCTGTTAGGGTGGCAAGACCAGAGGATTCCCCCTGCCACCTCAGAAACTAACAGCCTGGGTGGCAAGGACAGTTTCCCTGGCTTATGAGCTAGCTGGTCTACAGCTCAAAGTTACTAACAAAGGTGCACTGTGCACAAGCAATAGCACTGACATTGACTGCACTGCACACCAGGATTCCTCTTTTGAACATCTGTAAAGCAATAACCCAGTAAACTCCATTGATATTTGTGAGACATTTGGGAGAGCTGTGTTTTCATCTGTGTTTCAGTGACAACACCAAGCCATCAACCAGTGACACATAAGCTTGCTGGTTCTCCTTATGCATGATGCACAGAGGCCATGAAGAGGAAAGGCAGGGCAGGTTGCTTGCCTGTACCTGTCATTCTTCAAGTGTTCACTTGCGCATTCATACAACACACCTACCAACCTCTCTTTGGTGTCATGTTCTAAACTTTTCTCCTCCTATATAAGATTGGGTTCAAAATTTTCTGTACCTAGATTTGGTTTGACTAAAGTAATGGTCACACAAAATAGTACTTCCTCAGTCCTAAGCCAACAAAGGTGGTCCCAAGTTAACTGAGGGAAAGAGAAATACACAGTAAATAATTGTATTTTTACTTTAATGTTTCTGTTGATGTTACTGCAGTTGTTAGTGAAGACTGACTTCTGATTTGTAGAAATTGTAGCTGGGCATTTTGCAGTCATTGCTTAGGTGCTATGTCTAATTTAAATTGTGTCAGACTGGATATGATAGTGGCTGTCCTATGTGTCAGAATCTGGTCTACCTTCAGGGTGGGGGTAATTAGGGGCAAGCAAGAGATATGCTAAATCTTTCCCACCTGTTGGCATCCTCCTCCCCCAGCTTATTTTTTGTTGCTACCTTGAGAAGCTTCAGAGACCCAAAGTAACATTTAATGAGATAGTACAGTTTCAGGCAGAGAAACAAGTTGATGCGTAGTTTGCCACTTCCCAGCCTTCTCTGCTGCATTTTAAATTATCCCATCCACAGTTTTTCATGGATTTTGGCATGACCTGCCATGTCTAATTTGGTTCAGTGTTAGCACATGATGAAGTAAATGAGGTTTTGTATATTGTAAGAAGAACAATATATATTAAAAAAGCTGTGTATTTCTTGCAAGTCCTTGAGTTGGTGGGAGGTCTATTTTTTGCTTATTCCTGTTAGATATTAGTTAAAAATAATATTCATGATGACCAGAGACCACAAACTAATAGCTGCCATCTTATTTCCTTGATTTCTATTTATGTAGTAAAATGTATCCAGGTTATACCTAAAAGGTCTACTAGAGAAGAGCTCGGTGCCTTAATGCTTAATCTAGTCATAATTAAATTATTACCTAAAATGATTTCATGTTTAGATGTATGGAATACAATGTAGCTACTTCTGCAGTATTTAACTCACACTATATCTTTTACAGGTGAGACAAATGATAAAGATGTTCAAGTAATAGAACTACCCATAGTTGACAGTCTACACCCACGGCCCCCATATTTGCCATTGGCTATCCCAGAAGATCTGGCTGATAGGCTAATTCGTGTCCATGGAGATCCTGCAGTGTGGTGGGTCTCGCAGTTTGTCAAATACCTGATTCGTCCACAACCTTGGTTAGAAAAAGAAATAGAAGAAGCTACGAGGAAACTTGGCTTTAAACATCCAGTTATTGGGTAAGAAATTTTTGATTATGTAATTAAGCATACACATAGCCATGCTTACTTCCACTGAAATCAGTAGGAGTTAGTTCCCAAAAAAACATAAAATATCCCACCTTATTCTGTATCCTCTGTTAAACAGCAGACTACCAAAAACTTCTGGTAAGGTGATGTTCCAAAATATGTCAGGAATGAAGGTCTTTTCATTTTTTCCCAGTATCTGCAACTCAGAGGTGTATTGCCTTTATATGTGGACACTCTGAAAGAAACTATTGTTAATAGCCATAGATAGTCTTATCCGCCTTCAATTTGTTTGCTCCTTTAAAAAAAAAACTAACTGAATCTTTTATAGCTTAGGGAATGCAGCCAATAAAGATGCCTGCCCTCTACAAATTATTTTTATTTTCAAACAATGCCTTTCCATATTTCAGAAAACATTCCCAATTACTAGATAGATTTAGAGAGAAAAACGAAAGGGGAAATCTTCGTTGGCAAAATCTAAGAGACGCTGAAGAAATACTAGCTCTCTTGTTTGATCATCCTTGATCATTAACTGTATTATGACACTTTTCAGTTAAGGCATATCTTGTTAAGGGAGGAAACATCAAAATAATTGGTTATGTTTTAAAAATGTTTTTAAATAGTATTCTTTGGAAGAAATTGTATGGAAAAAGAGTTCTAGGCTCTCTACTATCAGTAATCCCGACCCCCCACCGACTTGATCCGATTTGACAGTGCTGCTAAGGTGATAACTAGTGCAATAGCATTTTCTGATGCGAAAAAGTTTCCCTGGAAAACCTGTTATGCTAACAACCTTTTTTGGTGTTGTGTGAGAGGACAATTAGAAGAACATAATTTGTTGTAGTATTAAATATGATAATGTCTACCTTCCCATTAAAATCTTTTCCTGGTAGTACCATATAGCAGATAAATAATGTTATACAGATAGATAATTTCCCAACTAATTCTGGAGAGAGCAAGGCAGCAATGGTTCATCTTATAACCTATGGCAGACCTATCCAAAATTCACAAATATTATTATTAATCACATTTCTGCTAAGCTTCCAAGATTAGGCAGGATCAGGCACTTTGGGCTATGTTAACTCTCTAGTAAGGTATGTTATTCCTCTCGATGCAGCCGTGGTAGTATTAGGTTGTGTATACCAAGTAACATCTCTTGCAGTAATGAGTTGCACAAGGTAACTGTGCATTTTGTATATGAATAAATATTTTGATTGGTCTGCCCTGAACCTACTGCCAATCAGTTTTATTTGGTGATAACAAGTTGTTTTTCTCACCTTCTACAGTTTTATAAATTGGAATCACAAACCACATTGGTATTTTTTCACAACAAAAATGTTGTAGACCCTGTAATCTTTCCATGATTGTTTTAGTTGTCAATTTTTCTTTATGTGCCCAGTTCTGATATCATTACTTGTTTAAGTTTAGAAAAGGGCCTCAAGAACTGTGTGAGGTTGTCAGGATTTGGGCTCCTCTAGGGCTCTATTTGGTCGTCAGAACCGGAACAACCACCACCATACTTTCAGGATCAGACCATGATCCTGCTGAAGCTCTCAGCCTCCAGAAAAGTGCCAACTGGAGGAAGAGCTATATAAGAGCAAGCTCTTCCCTCTGCTGGCTTCCTCAGTAGTGCAGACCTTATTGTTTTGATTCGGGGAAGGTCAGAGGAAGTGGAAAAAGTTTTAAACTCAGGAAATAGAAACCACTTTCTTGATTAATTGCACTTAGAGAGAAAATAATTTTAGGAGGTAAAAATCTAGGTAGAAAGGCAGAGTAAAGAACAAAGAGACTGAGAGAATAATTCCTAGAATCCTAGGAAAAGGAAAGAGCCAGAGCTGTTAGAACTAGAGAACTGATTGAGAGAACTGAACCAGTGACGAAGATACCAGTTGCTAGGGAACATGAGTGAGAGGTGACTGAAGTCCTACTTGTGGGTTTCCTATAGGCAGCTGGCTGGACACTGCAGGAACAGAGTGCTGGACTAGAATGAGCCTTGGGCTGCCCCAGGGCGATGCTTTATGAGCTATTACTTGGATAAGGGACCTGGATCTACTTAGGTCAGCTGTGGATGCAATTATCCTTGGTATTTTTATTGCTCATATGAATTCCTTTTCTTTGTGTGTAGCTACCCGTTCTAAGGTTAATCTTTTCTTATCAACATTTTTCTTCAGTAAATGTTTACTATTTCGTAAAATTCCATTGTTAACTTTGTAATCTCTTTTCTTTTTGGGTTTTCCATCCCATGTCTGATAGCTAAAAATGAAACATTTGGTGCTGGTAGTAGCAGCCTGTAATTTTTTTTCCAGCTAATGACATTAGAAGAGGCCACAAGAAGGGAATAGCTAAAAGGAATGAGGGCATGCTATTTTGCTGTTTTTCGTTCAGTTCACAGAAGAGGCCATTGCCCAACTGTGACAGCAGCATAAAAACTCTCAGATTTTGAAATAAAAGAAAACTCAAACACTGAGAGCCTAGTTTTTGTCTGTTTAATGGAGCTTATTTAAAAGGCTTTGAAGTGGTCTAAATAAGGCATCACACAGTTTTTTCTAGCGAAGCCATGGCATTATGCCACACCATAGCGAAGGCCCCTTCTTCGTGGTCTCTGAAGAGGATCTTAAGGAAAGTTGTATAAAGCACAGGATAAGAAAAAAACCTAATTTCACACTGCTTGATGGGTCATTTTTGTACCTTATACATCTCACAGGGAGCATGAAGCTCTCATTTTATCCTTGTGACAACCAGTTAGATAGTTTAGAGTGAGAGAGAGTTTAGGGTGAGAGAGAATTAATTTCCCCAAATACCCTCTATAAGTTGCATGACCAAGCAAGGGCTTGAACCTTTATTTTCCCAATCTTGCTCCTTCAGTTGATACCACATTGACTCTTGTATTTTGAGTTTTAAAAATAAACTCTGTAGCAAAGAGAACAAGAAAATAGCACTTCTTTAAAAGTATGAAGGCTTATATTTGTTGATTCTTCTTTGTGATCTTTCTGCATCAACGGTATGTGTTCTGAGCCTGAGTAGAACTTCTAGTACACATGACCAGAAGATATGGCTCCTTACTTTTCTTTTTGATCACTACAGCAGAATCATACAGGTGGAAAGGCTGAGGAAAAGGTTTTAATTGATTTCCTGTAGAGCCTGGTGTCACCTGGCCTGCTATTCTGGAGGGTCCTATAGCTCCCCAGAGCGGATATTCTGTTAACATGGAGGGTTAAATCAGCAAACATAATCATCTCTCCTCACATTCAGTCAGTGGGAAAGTTCCATGGGATCAAAAATCTCCTGCTGATGGCAGGAGGTTTTGCTGATCCTTTGCCCACAGGAGGCTTTTGCTGGATTGAAACTTTTGTTCTTGTGCTTGATGCTAGTTTAACTTATTTTGTGAAGTGTATATGGAGGATTATTGATTCCCAAACATGTACTTGGCATGGCAGAATTGAAAATGGGTGGTGATGATGCGGTCATTAACAGGCTTCCACCCAATCAGCGCACTCACAACTTCCTTGCTGAGAATCAATCCAGCACCACGGGTATGTTGGCTTTCATGACCAGAGTGCAAGATGACTTTTCCATTGCTGATCATTTGATTTCCGTCCATTTCCAATCCCATCATGTGCAATCTACCATCATTCAGGTCTATGCACCAGCAGAGGAGGCCGAAGAAGCAGATAAAGATGACTTTTATTACCAGCTTCAAGAGATGCTTAACAGTATTCCCAATCAGGACATCAAATTGGTTATTGGAGACCTGAAAGCCCAGATTGAAGGACACAGACATGGCATAAAACATGTCATTGGGCCACACGTTTCAGCTGTACAAATGAATGATAATGGTGAATGCCTCACTTTATTCTGAGGTATGAACAGTCTTTGTATTGGGAACATCTATTTTGAGCATAAGTGCATTCACAAGATAACATGGCAGTCTCCTGATGGTTCCACGAGCAAAGAAATTGATTATATATGCACCTACTGGGGTGCAGATGTGAACTCAGACCATTATCTGGTCATGGTGTTGCTCTGACCCAAGCTAAAGAAAATACAACACATCCTTTTGTAGTTGAGAAATCGAAGGATACTGCAGTTGTTGCAGAGTTCCAACTTACACTGATCAACAGATTTCAACAGGTATTGCAAGACAATGTGGATATCGAAGACCAATGGACACATTCTAAACAGGCCATTGTCAACAGTGCCAACATAACAGTAGGGTGATGTTGAGGTTCATGGAGAGAATGATGAATTCAAGACAGTACCTGGAAACTCATTGACAGATGCAGGATTGCAAAACATCAAAAAGAGCAGACAGAGACACTGACTGAAAGAGCAGCAGCAGAGGACAAATACAGAGAACTGGACCACCTGATTAAGCAAAGTTGCCGGGCCAATAAATGAATGTGGCTGGAATGCAAGAGTACTGAAAACAAGGAATGAGCCAAACAATGGAATTCCCTGGAAGCATCATACAAGACTCACAGACCTTGATTTTACTGACAGTGTTTCATTGTTGTCAAAAACTAGGGCCTCCTTGCAGGACATGACTACCAACTTAGACACTGAGGCGAGAAAAGTAGGAGCACCTATTAGTGTGGAGGAGACCAAAGTCATGTTGATTGGGAGCCACCCTCCTAACGCTTTGATTGCAACTGGCTGACAGCCAATAGAACATGTCCAACAGTTTACATATCTTAGTAGTATCTTATCACAAGATGGCAGCATAGATGAAGATGTCAAACACAGAATTGGTAAGGCCTCAGCAGTATTCTTGCGCTTACAACCTATTTGGTCAGCCCCAGCAATCAATAAGAAAACCACGTTACAGCTTTATAAGACAATTGCTGTACCAACAGCGATCTATGCCAGTGAAACATGGGCAATAGCAGAACACACCACACAAAAGCTCAGTGTGTTCCAACACAGTTGCTTATGGAGAATTCTGGGTGTCACTTGGCATGACCATGTCACCAATGAGACAATTTTGTGGCAGAGTGGATCCAGGAAATTGCCGGCTACTGTGACAGAACATTGAATGCATCTAGCTGGTCATATTCTTTGCTTGCCAGAACATCCATACTGGAATAATGCTATATGTTTGGAGCTGCCAGAGAGAAAGTGGAGGTAGTGTCGATCGCATAAAACTTGGCATCAGCTGTTAAAAAATAACTTACAGGCAGTGGATATCAAATGGGAAGATGCTGAAGACACTGCTGCAGATAGGATGTGTTGGCAGAAGCTTGTTGTTGTATGTGCTTTGCGCAAAAGGAACTGATGAAATATCTACTATTTTTGTTCCAGCAGTTACATCTAATACAACTTGCCTCTAGCCCATCTTGTTCAACAAAAGATTGTGTGACTTTGTTTAGACAACATGAAAATCTGTACTCGGGTTGAGTGTGCATTGTGTGCATTGTGTTGAAATGTAGGTTATCATGGCTGAGCTAAATCCAACTGAGCTAATCATTCGTTTCTTGTTAACCACTAACAATCCATAAGGAGAACCCATAGTTTGTAGGGTTCTGAACTGTTGTTCATCATGGTTGTTATTTCAACTAGGTTTAGAGAACATAACAACCCATGTTTCTGCAACAACAGGCAGTTCAGTGACAACCCATACTCAGCCTTTGAGAATGGGTCATTATGTTAACTGAACCAAGTCAGCTATTCACATAGTTAATAACAGGACAGCTAGAGGTCAAGTTTACTTTTGTCCACTTTCGTCCCATTCATATCTAAATCATGGTCTCTGTGCTGTCATTTATAAACATACTGTGCATATAGGTGAGGGGAACTGAAGCTTCTACCTTCCCATTACCTATAATTGCAGGCACTTTTTGGCCAGTGCAGCTCTGCTTCCCGAAGTGAATTAGAAAGAAAAGGGGTTCAGGGGATAGAACATGGCAGATTAAGATGTGGAGTGGTTTGGAACCTCTTTTCTGCACACATTTTGTTGTAGAAATTAAACTCCTACACTGTTGTTTTGATGTAGATATGAACAGGGCAGCCATGTCTCATGTAGTTTGGTCCATATGATACTTGAATACAAAGCTCAAAAGCGTTCATTGTACAGGACTGTTCTCAATATTTATGCAGTATAATTTCTCTTCCACCATTTTACAAAGTAAATTTAAAAAATCTATGTTAACTTCTTGGGTTTCAGTACAGTCCACATGATCAGTCTCTGATAGCTGCATATTTTCAATTAGCCAACCATTTGGAAAGAGGCTATATAATAAGCGTTTCTATTTTTGTATCTATTTTGGCCATTCAACCACCAATTTTGAAAAAAGAATAAATTGCTAAAAAATAATCTTTTTAATAGGTAGTTTTTCAGAAATATCTCAGTGTGTATGGATTTGTTTCAAACAATACTGCAAAACAGAAAAATAGCCAGAAAATAAAAAAGCTCTCCATTTGCAAATGCCTGTGCAAGGAAACATCCTTTAGAGATTGTAAAAGATCTGCAAAGCCATACAAATCTTTGTTTGGGGACACTTTTACAACCTGTCTGCTGCCCTGTTGTAAGTTACATTAGTAGTTACGCAGCTTCATAATGGAGAATGTGACTCTTACAATACCCTACATTAAAGCTATATAGAGCTTTGAACATGACACTTTGAACATTACTTTGAACTGAATGAATTTGTATATGATATTAAAAATCCAGTTACATTTTAGTATATTGGTGCAGGAGACATGAATTAGTATTGTTAAAACTGCTGAAAAGGGATAAACCTACCTTAAACAAAAATAGGAAACATCTCATCTTGATAACCATACACTTAAGATATATGCATTATCTTTTCACACAGATTTAAATTCTACAAGCTGGTAACTAAATTTAAACCTGCTGGGATGCATATAAAGGAAGGTCAGGCTGACCCTGTTCAGCAATAACAGCTTGAATGTATTTGCAAAATCACAATGCTATGATTCTACAGTGAGATGAGTAGCATATATTAGCATTTGGCCTCCAAAAATGCCTAAAAATTATATTTACTGTTCAAGTAGTTTTTTTCACCACATAGAGCAATATACCAATCCATGCCCTGTGGTTTTAGAGGTAGTATTTTCAGGAAAAAGTTGTCTACTGGGGCTTATTTGGCATATAGACCATTCTGATGAAACAAAAAAAGTATAAGAATTTTTTCTTTTATTTTTCAGTGTTCATGTCCGAAGAACAGATAAAGTAGGAACAGAAGCAGCATTTCATCCCATTGAAGAATACATGGTACATGTTGAAGAACGTTTCCAGCTTCTTTCCCGAAGAATGCATATTGACAAGAAACGTGTTTATTTGGCTACAGATGATCCTTCATTATTGCAAGAAGCAAAATCCAAGTAAGATCATCCTTTTCATAGTAGGTACAGAAATGATTTCACATGAAGCATAGGTATTTAAATAATGTGTCTGATTTAATGTATATTTACCGTTGTTCATTATCTGCCTGTGAGTGAGTGAGTTCTTCAGTGTTCATGCCTGCCTTGTGCTGTAAGAATGACATCTCATTATATAATTTCATGGTCTCAGCCATGAACGACCATGCTAAATTCTTTGATGTTGAAATTTAAAACAATGGAATCATACAAGGCATTTTTAACGAAATTTAATTGAATTCATGTTGTTTATGCTTTGCCTTTCTTCCATGATGAAACTGAAGGCAGCATATGTGGAATTTCCAGGTGGTCTTACATCTAGGCATTCACCTGATCCAGAGCTGCTTGTCCTCTAGCATTGTTCCAGAGAACATGATCTGCATGCCCAGATAGATTTTGTGTTTCTTTACTTCCTTTAATAAGAGACCCCATACTACTTTGCAATCTGCTTTTTAAAATCCCTTCAGTTTCAAAAGCAGATTGCCCCGTAGGCTGGGGCTGCTCTTTGAAAAACACAAAGCCCTACTGAGAGCCTAGATTCCAAGGTTCTTTGGATCCTAGACTCAGTGATTTTTATAAATAACTCCCTCCTCCCTCAACAAAAAGCAGCATTGCCACGTAACAAGCTGCTTTTATACTTCATTTGAATTTCAAAAGTGTTTGTCTACACTGTATGTGGGGTTAGTTACTTAAACATGTTAAACTACTTAGTTCTTTCTTCTGGTTTTCGTGTTCATGAAAGATAAACATTGTAGGTACTACAATAATAAATCCAGGGATTATCTTTCTAAATTTGGAAAATATTCTTGAAAATACTGAGAGGCTTTTTCATATGGTGACAGACAGAGCTTAACGGACCTTTGTTAACATCACCAGTTCATAGAAAACATTTTTGGCCTGAAAAAATAGTGTCCTGAATATGTACTTGAAATGATCGTTCTGCAAACCTTCAGTGTTTTCCTGAAGACTCCATTTCTTTCTTTGTGGTCAAGAGACTCCTACTGTCTAAAGCAGTCTCCAGCTGCCACTTTCAAAAGGGATTTTATTATTGCTGCTTCATGACACTTTCTCAAAAGACAGTAAAGAATGTGATGGTGCTTGCCAGATACCCAAGGGCTGTACCGGTGTCTATGAAAGGTTGTAGTTCAAAGGCCGAAACATGATTCTTGATGAAATTGAAAGTAGAAAAGATTATCTTTATCATCAGATTTGTTTATACGATGATGAAGAAAGATAAAATTGTGATGTGTATTGAGGCTCAAGGTGGTAAGAAGTATAATCAGATTGTAAATAAGGATGGGCAATATATCTGTAATAGTTCTCACACTGGAATTTTAGCAAGGAGGCTCTTTCTGATTAAGTAGGCAAAGTGTTGAGCATATTCTTTCAGTGCTCAGTATCTTTTAAATAAGATTTGCTGATTAGTTTAAAGAAACTGGTTGTTTTTACTATGATAACATAGACTATGAATCTCAGTAGAATTGGAACAAACATGAAAAATGGCTCCAAAGAAGAAATATTCAGAAAAAGATATTACAGTGATGGCTATCATATTGCTCTATATTTTACTAGTAGTTAAAGTATAATAAAACATAGTATGTGTTTACAGATGATATCTAGACTTTTATACTAGTTGTCAGATCTCACAGGTTAAACTATGTTATCACTGTGATCCCACCATGAAGAAACAACAGGGACTATCCAATTTGCCCAGAATTCATGTTCAAGAACTTGGGGTGTACATTGGATTTGCTTAATCAGAGCAGACTGCATTTGTGAGATGTCAGTATGCTCCTACTTGTAACTTCTTGCATTGTTATACTGAATATAGACAGTAAAATCCAGTATTGTGTGAATAGACTTCCACTAAGACAAAGTGAATCCTTTCCCCTACAGCTACCCATATCATCACAAAATCTGCTCTGGAGGGGCCCCTTGCTCTCCAGAGCAGGCACTGAGGTATGTAAAGAGTTGCCAAGAGGACAAGAAATTGTCCCCCCCCCCCCCAAAAATACAGGTCTCTGGGGAATAATGCCATGCGGAAAGAGATTTTGCTTGTGAGAACAGCTGGATGGGATATGTGGCAAGAGTGGGAGGGCAAAGGAGGGAATATGAAATCATGCAAGCATCTGACCGGTAGGTCCAGGCAAAAATCTGCAAACCATGGAAACTATGCAGGGTTGTTTGCCATGATGTGTGAACCCATTTAATATGGTTTGATGGGTAGCCCTCAATCCGATAGAACCCATATTAATTGTTATCTCCCATTTAATACTGAAAAATGTGAACCTGTTGCTAACATCTTTGTAAATGGATTATATAATAAAATCTTTGCCATTCTTTGGTTTCTGTTTAAAACAATCAGATTAAATGCCTTCCAGATTTAATGTCCAGTCTGAGCTGTAGGTTTGAAGACATGGCAACCTCCCAACAGGAGGAAAAGAAAGGTGTAACTTAAACATGCAAGTTCTATATTCTCCATTTTTCCAGATATCCAAACTATGAATTTATTAGTGACAATTCCATCTCATGGTCAGCTGGTCTCCATAATCGATATACTGAAAACTCTCTGCGGGGTGTTATTCTGGATATACACTTCCTATCTCAGGCAGACTTCCTTGTCTGTACGTTTTCTTCACAGGTAAGGTGGCATGCATTATTGTAAAGTTAACCACCCAGTGAGCCTCAGCTGTTGGGCAGTATAAATATGCAAGAAACAAACAAACTGCTATATACACCAGTTTTATTATTTATTTTGTATGGCAATGGTACAATTAGCTAGGAAGTCTACCCTGCTAATGCAAGGTAGTTTGGCTGACTGAGATTGCTAGCTCTTCAGTTCACGCTTGCACACTATCCACAGTGCACCACAGGGGGTGAGACAGGTTACACAAACAAAGCAGCTAGGACTAGTCTGCAGGAGTGTTGGCATCCTCTGGTGTCTCTCCACCGCTGCTGCTGGTCTGATGTGGGGCTGGTCCACACACTTTCCGCGCAGGTCACTAGCTTTCCCACCAAAGTGGGTACACATGTCTACATATGCTTTTACACACTTTCTAGCTGCTGGGTGGGCAGGAGCTGGGGCAGGCAGTGGGCACTCACCCCACCTTGTGGATTCAAATTGCCGGTTTTCTGATTGGCAAGTTCAGTGGCTTAGCAGTTTAAACTGCAACACCACCTCACATCTCTCTATACACTAGTAATCAAATACTATAAAAAACCTAGAAGGGTTATAAATATAAAATAAATAGAGAGGTAGCTATGTCTTATTTTAATGATCAATATATTAATATTTTCAAAAATTCTTCCTTTACATTTAGAGATTTGTAAGAAAATATATCCATTAGAACAGATAACAACAATCTGTACTTTCTCATGTCTTATCTCAAAAATAATTTACATCTAGAAAAAGTGTGGAAAGTGGGGGAAAGATTGGAAGCTGCCCTCTTACAGACAGGAGCCTTATACTTTTAAATAAAGAAACTATGAAGTACCATGGTATAGATTAATGGAATTCTGAAAACTATAGGGTAAAAATAGATATATTAATTTTGTCACAACACTTGAACTTGGAGGTCATCCAGTGGAATGGATTGGCTGTAGGTTTAGAACAAACTAAAGGAAATAATTCTTCATTAAACTTTGTATTAACTGGTAGAGTGCTTGCCAGAAGATAGGGTAATGACTGCATATTTAGATGGCCTTAAAAAGCTATTAGAGCTGGACAAATTCATACAGAATAGTCTTGATGTCTGTAAATAATTTATGTTTTCAGAGGTATTCTGCCTCTGAACTCCAAATACAAGGAGCAGACATTAGGAGATAATGTGTGCTTCCTGTGAATTCCCAGTAGCATCTCAATGATCTCAACCAGAGACCAATAACTAGGCTAGGTGGGCATTGGTGTTATCCAGGAATCATTTTCTTTGCTCTTATGAGGAATTTCTCATGGCATTTGGGCATCCCAGTTCTTAACTTGTCCACATGCAGGATTTTTAATCTCAGCTAAACTGGCAATTTTCTTTCCTGATGGAGACTGGACTACAAACCATTCAGTTCTCCTTTGTGATTTCCATGCATTGCACATATGAGATCTTTGCCTACACAGGGACTCATGCAGGAAGCTCTATAGCTGAGAAAGCTTTGGAAGGTTCTCTTCCTCCCACCATCTAGTGGGCATGTCAGTAGTGGGTTCCCGGGAATTCGTTCAGTCTGTCTTTGATCTCCATTGTGGTGGAAGATTATCTTTGACACAATTGCTGAAGTTTTTTTCTCTCAGTTTTTTCTTTGATATGCCTTTTTCCTTTTCTAACTCAGTCTGTACATCATTTCTTTTGTTTTCCCTTTATACAATCAGATTGTGTTTGTCACAAGGGTCCATATGTATTTTTTTGGCTCCAGTCTGTTGGCTTTTATCAAAAAGCATATAAAGGACTTGCCCTTTGACAGATCTGGTCTTTTCCGTTCAAAAACTGATGACATAGTGGACTTGAACCTGAAGGCAAAAATGACAGCTAAGAAATAGGATTTGCTCACCACCACCCCTGCCCAGCCCTACCACCATAGGTGTGAAGAAAGGCAAGTTGCTTGCTTGTAGCTGCTGTTCTTTGAATGGTCATCTGCATATTCACACATCCTTCCCTCTGTCCCCATCTCTCTTTTTCATCTGCTTGAGCATTGAGATCAAAGTAGATTGATAGCAAGCATTGATACACCAAGGAAGATTGTATTGTTTTTCCCTCTTAGTATTGGTGTCCTTCATTGGCACCATACCTTTTTCCTCTCTCAGTCTTGAGGTTGCAGTTAGTCTCTGCATATTGAAGGAATGAGCAGAAGCCCTCCACTGGCATGCCTGCTAAGCAATGGGGGAAGGATTCCTCAGCTATAGGTTTCCAAGTCAGCCTCATGCAGGTCCAGAACCCATATGTGTGAATGCACAGATGATTACTCCAAAAACTACAGTTAAAGGTAGGCAGCCTGTCTATCTTCAAGTAGAACATTCCATGCCACCATCCCAAGTATCAGAGGCTTCATTGTCATGAATGCAGTAGATTTAAAAGTTCCAAAGCAGTATTAAGGCATTCCTCATCTGTTGCAGCACCTGACACAATATGGATTAGCTCGCTGCATTAATGGTTTTTAAATTACCTTTTGCTGCAGAGAATTTGTCCCAATGGTTAATCATGATGGAAAGATTATAGGATTATAAAAGATTACAAGTGTTTCCAGAAATGCGGTTCAAGTTTATGTTAAACTGTTTTTAGAATTTTTAGAATCAAGAAACAAAAGTACAATATAAAGCATTACATTACTTTTAAAGACAAGACAGTTTGACAAATGGCTTCTTAACTTCATTCAGGGTAGAATGTAATTAATGCCTACTTTTTCTTCTAACATTTCACAGTTAGCATTTTAATTAGGGACCTATGTAGCTGGGCATAAACCCTGAGATTCTTGCTATAATATTTCTTTCCTCATAGTTGGTAATATATAGTAATAATCCTGTTTCTTTAGAACTCAATATGATATTTAGGGATCGTTTTCAATAGTTTGAATTTGTATATTATTCATAATTTTATGTTTTTAATTAGTTTGATGGTGCATATGTGTCAAACTCTCGGATATAATTTAAGGTTAAAATCTTACACATGTTTAGTCAGAAAAGAAGTCCTACACTTCCCAGCATTCCCCAACTAACATAACTGTTGGGAGGGTTGCTGGGAGGTATAGAACTTTTTTTCCTATCTGAGTATGAATATGATTGTGTTCTAAATAAATTAAGAAATAAGTACTTTTTGAACTATCTCCATTTTTCTTTGATGGTAGCAACTCATGCATGTAAACAGATTTCCACGTGTGGACAGACATACAAGTGAGCTTATATGGCAGTGATGACGAACCTTTTAGAGACTGAGTGCCCAAACTGCAACCCAAAACCCATTTATTTATCACAAAGTGCCAACGCTGCAATAAAACCTGAATATTGAAGTTTTAGTTTAGAAAAAAGAACTCGTACATTAACATCTTTTGTCTTAAAAGAAAAACACAATAACAAGCTTTCAATGATGCAAACAGCTTTTTATTGAAAAGTAAAAGTTTGTATTTGGTGGGCTTTTGCACAATTAATGTGATCTTTGCTCTTGTATGCATGCTGATAATTTGTCAAACCTTGGCTCATACTTCGTTAGTTTGAGAGCAACACATGCAGCACTCAGGTCATCTGTTAGTCTGTTTCTTGTATCAGATTTCAATTTTTCATAAGAAAACTCAAAGCTAAAATCTTGTGTTAATGAAAACGAATGTATTAAAACTCACAGCCAGTCCAAGCAAATACATATATCCTTGGCAGCGCACTGACCAGCCATGTGAAAGTTCGGACGATTCGCAGCTAATGAGTCGTAACTTGTGACAGCATTGTCTGGCACCGCTACTCTTTTCTGAGCATGCACATGGCTCCTATGTGCACTGTTATCTGATGCTTGGCTCCTGGGGTGACTTGGCACGCATGCCGACAGAGAGGGCTGTGTGCGCCCGCTGCAGCACGCGTGCCATAGGTTCACCACCACTGTTACATAGAAAAAGGAATAATAGGACATCATTTGCCAATGTGCAACAGTTGCATCTGTTCAGAATAAAGCAGGAGTACAAGACTTAAGGCTCACTGGTTGCCCATTCTCACACTCCCCAACTCAAACTCTGATTAATGCAGTGTTTCATATATAATACTGTTTCTCTATGGAACAAGGAGATTTCAAAAATGAAAATATCTAAAACTAGTGAAGATAAAATGAATACTTATAATTAATTCCTGATATTTAGCACTGATTCATTTTTCCAATTCCAATGTTAACATAGTATGAGAACAGATAATCTAATATGGAGAGTTATTGCTTGTTGAAAATGACAGTCGCTTTCAGGTAGTGAGGAAATGTCTATCAGTGTTAGAGCTAGGCATATTAAATTATATTAAAAATAAAACCATTACATGCTTAGTTTTGCTGATCACTTCATTGCCCATAGATTTTGTTTCCAAGTGATGATTAATTAGATTTGCTGATGAGTGATTCAGAAGACTTATGCTTTTCTAAATTTGATGGATTTGAAAACTTTAAAATCAGCAAATAAAAATGAAGTATTTTATAGAAGTTTGTGAAGGTTAAGAAGTTGAAGGTCAGCAATGTGAGTATACGAAGAAATAGGTGTATACTTCCATGTAAAAAGAGTATAGCTAAGCATTCCAGAAATCTGCATAGCTATGAGTCTTAAGGATGTTTTCACATGTTACTCTTATTTTTGTAGCTCACAAATGGTAGGCTCATAGAGCAGTATAATAGCTTAGTAGGAGACTAATATATTGCAGCCACAGACATTTTCATAATCAGCGAAGCATTTCAAACTCTTCCTAACAATAAATACATTACTATGTAATTTATGGTGGGGTTGGAGGCTACAGGAATTACCCCCAAATTAACTGAGAACCTCACCTGTATTAACCTAATCTGATGAAAATCTTTTCATCTGCTTCCTAATTTTAGAATTACAAGATTGCATTGATCATAACGCGGATAGATTGCCTTTTTTCTTTTTTTGGATATGAGCATTCAGCCTTGGTAGTAATGTTCTTGTTGCTTGCCATAGACACAGAACTGTAACATAACTGAAGCAGCAAAAATAATGCTTTTTTTTTTACTAATCTATATTTGCATAAAATGTGGTATAATGATACATCTAAGCGCAACAGACTATTAGTGTTCGGTTAGGCATAGATGAATAGGGAATATGTAAATCTGGACATCTGACAAATGACCCTGCATTTTTGGTTTATTAAAAACGAAATGTGTTTGATCACTCTAGATTGGAATTTATTTTGTTTACCAACTATCCAACTACCTTTTTTATTAAAACATTTATCACCATTTTTGACCTCATTCAAAAATGTAAATATAAATGGTGATTGGCCTAATTATTCTTTCAGCATTTCCTAGCAATTGCACACTATCCATTTTTCATTTCTCCATTTTCTACCTTCTACTCTGTTTTGGTCCTGAATTGAAGTGTTCTTATTCATATTCCATTTAATCGATTTAGTGGCAACTCTGAAAACCAAGAGGGTTTTATACATTGCTCTGAAGGTCATGAAATTATTAGTCATTCTAATCTCCAGCTATCCAAAGCCTTGAGCTGATGCCAAGACATTTGCATCTCCAGCCTTAAGAAGACTTGTACCTAAGCCTGACAGCTTTCGAGCTGCTGAAGAACACTGCTGCCTGGCAAAATCATGGGCAGAGGAAGCAGGTTCTCTGGGTGCACTGGGCAAATTCTAAAGCGGGCCTACAGTTTAATACTAAGAATTTGAATTTGATCTAGTGAAGAACCAAGTAGTGCATATCCTTTGGTCTTTTGTTAGGTTCTAATACTCCTCTTGGAAGCTGAGTTGCTTTTATTTAATTGAAATGTTTTAAAGGTTTGTAAAGCATTCAGTAAGCCAGGCTTGTGACCTATGAAGTGTAGACTACTATGTCTTAACCACCAACAGAATATTAGACCAGTGTGTCTTAGAAAGACATCATTTTGTACCCATAGTAGTTACTCAGACATTTATGGCATAAAAATTAAATGGTGTGAAAAGTAACTTTGAAAAAAGATTGTAGTATCACCTCATCATCTATAGGAATGTTGCCATTCTTAAATGAAGGAGAGACTATGTGTAAAAACAACCTTCTTAAGAGAAGAATACTGTAACCATGATTACAATTTTATACATTTATGTGTCACTCTTCAGTTCCAAAAAGCTAACAAACTGTGAGAATTGAATTCAACCATGCAAATTCAACAAGCAAAAAGATAGTGTGACATGTTTCCTTTTAATCTTTCTTTACCTTGCCTGTTCACAGCAATGTAATTGTCTTTTACAGTGTATTGCAGCAGTCAATTTATCAATACAGTAAAATCATGCTAGTCTCTCATCATCATCATCATCATCATCATTTTCATTTCTGTGCCTCATAACCAAAGCTGTCTAATTATATATGGCCCTTTGAACTTGCTCCCACATAAGTGTGTTTAGGATAGCAACTTTAAATGATCTAAATCTATCACATGTAGTAGCTGAGCTGGGATGCAAGTCTCAATAAAACATGAGGTTTCATTGAAACGCAAACAGCCCAAGACTTCAGTGTTTGTATCTTTGCTGGGCCATGTATTATTTTATTGCAAATGACCATTTCTTTCCCTGTTGATAAACATGTTGCTCTGAGTCTTGACATTAACCCTGAGCTGGGTTTTGTCAAAGCAGACCTTGGTGATATAGGTAAATCAGGCAGATCTGGAAAAAAATAGCTGTAGCTCTAGCCATTGGGCCAGGCCTGCTCAGACTAACTGTATATGAGCTTCTGTCAATATTAGAGATGGGCACAGAAACCGAGGCCAGAAGTTGCTGGGTTTATTCTGCTTCAAAGAGTTAAACTGGGTCCGGTCACATCCCAGAGCCCTCTCCCCATTATCCATGCAATATCCTTTTCTGCCCTCCTCCTCTTGAGACTGTGGCCTCTGTGGCTCTAATAGCAGAGAAAAGGGAAGACCTCTCTTCCATTTCCACCTGGTGCAAGTGCTGCTATCACATTTGATCAGGCTCCAGGAGTACTAGGAAATGTGCTGATAAACATGGTGTTCTGCATGCTCCTGGCATGTGACAGATGTTTATAAAAACATCTTTATCGGCACTGCTTCACTACTGTGACAGCACATGTACAGCTTCATAGGAGGATAGGGAAAAGAAAGAGACTTCTTTCCTACCTCCTGCTACTACTGAAGCCATAGTAGCAAGGTAAGTGGGCAGTGGGTAGTAAGGAATACATTGGTGAACTAAACTGATATTAATCAGTTAGATTAGAAGGAGTTATCTCAGTCAATTTAAAATCCGAGTCAGAAGAACACAAGAAATTATACTGTGCTTTGTATTTGCGATAAATGTTCCAAGTGAAAAAAATCACAAAGCTCAGCAATATCTCTTAATAAAAATTAATAAGATTTTGTATATAACATGCAAGACAGACAGAGGCATGCTTCCCCATTTCAGTTTGAAATGCTCATGATTTCCCAGAAAAACTAGAGAAAAATTGGCTTTAATTTGAACCATTTGAAAACCATTAGTTACATTTAAGGAATGGACAAAGTGTTACATTGCCATCTGTAGCAGAGGTGGGAGAAATGAATACTCTAGAGATACTTAACCTGCGGCACATGATCTGGTCTCAGCATTGGTGCAAGGTAACATCTCTTTCTTTGGAGAAAACTTCTGCATAGCATAGCTTTGCCAGGAAAATGGCTTTCCAAGAATGTGCAGTGGGACATTAGATAGCCATAATTATCTTAGACCACTTGGATGTCCTTGAATCTTAAGGGATGTTTGTTTATTCCTATCCTCCTAGCATCAGCAAGTCGCAATTACATGGTGGTTTGAGGGGTCACATAACTCTTAATTGGCTGGACTGGATTCATCCAGTGTTCAATGGTTATGACTTGCACATGTCTAACAGAATCTTGGGACATCAAATTGCAGGATTCACAGTGGATAGAAGAATTCTGATCTACTGGAGACACACTCAAAAGCAGCAAATTAAGATGGGGTATATTACTCCAATCCTAAGACAGCAATGTTTTGAGAAGCAAATTGTGTGGTTTAGATAATGTGTTTGCCACATTCTCCAATTACAAGAAAACTGAAATTTCTTAAAAACATAGGATTTTCCCCATTTAACTGAAATAAATAAGGGTTCCCATTTCTATAAAAAGTCAGATCAATCCTTCAGTAAGTTACTGAAGTAGTGCATTTACAGAATAGCTGGAATAAGTATGAGAAAATACACTTGCTTCAGGAATTCTTAAATCTATGATAAAAATGTACTTAATAATACTGTTTTGCTAATTGGTTCTTCATTTTTGGCTACTTTTTCTAGGTTTGTCGAGTTGCCTATGAAATCATGCAGACATTACATCCAGATGCATCGGCCTTTTTTCACTCTCTAGATGATATCTATTACTTTGGGGGACAAAATGCACACAACCAGATTGCCATTTATGCTCACTATCCTCGAACTTCTGATGAAATTCCTATGGAACCTGGAGATATAATTGGTGTTGCTGGAAACCACTGGGACGGCTATTCAAAAGGCATCAATAGAAAATTAGGAAAAACAGGCTTATATCCCTCCTACAAAGTAAAAGAGAAAATTGAGACAGTCAAGTACCCCACATATCCAGAGGCTGACAAATAAAAGACAAATAGGAAAACTCAGACCAGCTCTCACTTTGAAGCTATTTCAAAAACCATATTTACTGTTGGCGTTTGTGGGAAGTGAATTTGCATTTTAACATACAGTTAAAATGAAAGCCTTTTATCATTCAGACTGGATACTCAGCTTGGAACAATTGGATGGGCCATTGTTTGGACTTACTTTGTTATATGCACTCGCACACATGCACACTGGTACACATTCAACAGAAAATCTGTTGTTTTATACGGTTTGTCTCTTTGAAGATATGCCCCTCTCATGAGTCATATAGAGCTATGAGCTCAGTTTTTTGCCATTAATAGACTATATTAAGACTTTTAACACTGCTGCATTGTGTAACTTGAGTGACATGAGCATATTTTGTATGTGCAGAATTTAAAACATGGTGCCTCTCTTTGAAAGATCAGTGACCTTTTAGAAGAGCCATGCCTAGTTCAATTGATAGGCAAGAGTTGTGCTTGCCTTTAACTGATGTTGATATGACCACTGAACATGCTCCAACCAACAGATTAAAAAATTCAGACTAGTCCTTTCTTTACAGGAGTTTTGTTAGCAATTTCATTGATTAGTTCATCTCATGAATAAAGAGTACATCCAACAATAAAATAATTGTCTGGTAGGAACTTTTGTAAAACAATGCCATGAACTGGATCTTTAGTACTGTTTCTGGACATTGTCTTTGATAACAACAACAAAAATAATAAATTAAAAAATAGTTGGAGTTCTAAAAGTAAATTGAATTTGAAGAATCATCAGATGTGTTTATCTTTCCAAATCATTTATTGGTTTACTTGGGAAAGCTCTCCTGGATTAAAATTTGACAGTGCATAGGGTTTCTTTATTTCCTGATGTTCTTGAGCATCAGGAATATGACCAGCTGATTCCTTGTGAGGTCAAGGAGCAGGCTAGAGCAAGGTGGTCCACTTTTCGTACCTTGAAGGCCACATGAGGACTTTACGAACCCATGGGCCACACAGTGAAATACAATTGCATATCATAAATTAAAGTGCAATATATTTAATTAACCATTAAACGAGGGGAAAAAACTGATATAAAGTCCCCGAGTTGGCTTGAAAATGCTTTGTGAACCTGGCAGCTCCTTCTCTGCCTACAGCCCAAGCACAATGACACTTCCTCTGGGGTGGCCCATCCCTTTCTTGCCTGTTTTTCCCACCTAGAAACCCTCCCATGTGATCCCCTGTCTCCTCCTATCTTCTTGGAATTGGCACACTGAGCATCTTGTACTTGATCTGACAAACTCTCCACAGCATCCCCTGCCCATTCCTGTTGATGAGTGCAAAGGCAAACAGCCGCAAGAAGAGAGAGAGAGAGAGATGGGATGGCAGCCTTGGGAGAGCTGCCATAATCATACCTGTACCATCGCTGAGATACTGACTGGGGGCAGGCAGGGGGGAAGGGCTTCGAGCAGCAAAAACAAGGCTTGGGGGGCTGCATGTTGGACCACTCTGCACTAGTTACCCATGTGTCCTCCACTGATGATAGGTGAGGTGTGGGAGGATTCAGGGAACAGCAGTGGTATTGAGCACCTGTCATAGGCCATGCTCAGAGCCTCCAGAGGCCACATATGGCCTGCTGGCCTGGGGTTGACCATCCCTGCTTTTTGGCCGCAATGCAAAAACAGCCATGGCAGAGTCTATTGTTGGTACAGGCCTTTATACTGAATTTGCTTTTACAGCTTATTAAACTTAACTCTAGTGTGGCATTGCTTAGATTCTTTTATGTCATTCACTTGAGAATAATGTGATCGCACAGAAACATTGTGCCATAGATTAAAGCTTTAAACTGAGTTTGTAGAAATTTGGCCTATCTTAATAAGGATCTGTGGTTCACAACCCCTGATTTTTTATTCTCTCTCATACAGATTGTGTCACATGGAACTGCTTAATAACACTTCTTTGTAGAGAGCTGATGGGGTTAGAGCAGTTAAAGAAGTGTATAACAGAAGCATGCAATGTATTAATATAGGATGGTGGGATTTATGAGACACTTTCTTGAAATATATAAACTCTGTTCTTAAACTATATAAATATAATGGAATTATATATAGTTAACAGTTGCACTGTGAGTATCTAGCTTGAAAAGAAAAGACATATACATAACAAAGCTGGTCTTAGGAAATTGACAGTTCTGGTACTAGTTCAGTTTTATGAGTATCACCTCTTCATCCAAATGTCTGAAAGGGTCCTGGATGTGCCCTTTTATGTTCCGACTCCTGGACTGAGCCGCACAAGCTGCCATTTATACACCCCTTGTTCTGGTACAGTTGACTGCTGCTCATTTGCTCTGCGTAGCCTCTAACATGTAATTACCACTGACAAAATGGAAGGCTAGGTGTTTGCTTAAATACTGGGCTGATCCTTGGGACAGCTGTTCCATGTGATTAAAATCTGGGTCGGACTTGACATTTCTATGCAAATGTCAGGGCTGGGAGGTAAGCAAATTCACAAAGCCAACTCGCATTGCAGTGTTCTATAAAGACATGGTGTGCACATCCATTCTAATACGAATATTTTCATTCTGAAGTACACACTATCTTGTCATGTATTACGGTAATATCCAAAACAGTTACTGTCCTAGATATGTATGTGATACCCTGAATGGCATGAATTATGGATGGTACAGCGTAAAGCATTTCTTTTTTTTATAAATCTTCCCATATTTTGGATGGTGGTTTAGAAGCATAAGTTGAATGTCTAAACGATTATTTGCTAATATTTTCCCTCTGGAGTTAGTCATTTTCTTTCAAGTCATGTTTTTATAATGTTTGAAATTATCCTGATTTTAATTGCTAAAGGTTAAGACATTTCCACATAGTTATCATTTGAAGCACTTCTGATGGGACTCCGTTAAGGTATTACAGAGATTATCTCTGAGATAATCCAGACTTCATATTTTAAAAGCAAACAGCTATGAAAAGAAGTTATTACTTTAAAGGCAGTATGTTAATTCAGGTACGCTTGCTGTAGAGTTTTATAATTTTCCTATACAGGATAACCTTGAAGGTATATCATATATACATGTGAGGTTCCATTAACATGCCAAGTAGGCACACATTCCAGTAAGGAACAATCAGTCCAGTCTCCCTATGGCATGAGCATGGTGGGAGAAATGGAACCTCTCTGGATATGCCCACTAATCCTGGACGTTGTGCAGGAACACTGACCCTCTGAAAACCAAGGTTTTGCACTTGGTAATCAGGAGGATGTGTATCGCTTCGCAATAGGAAACAATTTTAAAATTGCTGGTTCACACTTGCTTATGTATTGTTGCTATCTTTTAAAGTTTTAATTCACAAATTTGTGCAGTTACATTGCATTCCCCTTGTGTCATGCATCCGTTTTAATTCTTAGTATAGCTCATTGAATTAGCATGCCTTGGAGCAGACATTCAAATGTACCCTACATTCCACTTAAAATGGACAAATACAGTTTATTATCCAGACTAACAAGAAGAAAAATATTCAGCCTGTTTTGGCTAACCCTAATATAACATGGGAGCTTAAGTTTGCTATTGTATCTCTTCAGCTAAACTATTAAAAAATCATACCCTCAAGTTTCATACACCTATATTTATATAAGACATGCAAAACCTTTGCTGTTAAAAGATTTTCTCAAATGAGAACATAACACAAAAGTATTTTGAGAGCCTGGATTTATTCAGTTGTATATTGCATAAGTAGCAGCCAAGCTTTTAAAAATGTTACTCACTGATCTGTACTCAGGTCATCCTCATAGATGTGAGTCTCCTTTGTTTCTGCTCGTGTTAATAACTGTTAATGTCTACAGAAATTCAATATTACCACAAGATACGCAAGAGGATCTACATAATTCCTGCCCACAGTAGGATAGTTGCTCCTGGTCATGAAGCTCATTAAATGAAACTCACTGAACAGAACTATTTCAAGAATAGCACAAGCATTTTATCACTTTTGGACTACCATAAACAGCCACAGAAATCAAAGATGAGCTGATCAGATTTTGAACTTACAATCCTGTTGGAACCACTTTGGTTGGTTAATATTGAAAACACAGTAATAAACTATCTGGGCCTCATTAAAAACAGGTAAATTATCTTTGTTTTTTGTAAGGAGCTGTCATGAACTGGTCACTTTCCTCTTTCCTCTTTCCCCCTCTTTTGGCAGACTCGAATGAAACTCAGAAGCATGCTTTTATATTAAATCTTAACGGGTTACAGAAGAATAGAAAATCAGAGTAGCCTTCTCTTGGAGATATGGAAGGAGCATCTGCCCATGAGAGCTGAATCCAAACAGACGCTTCTCATTACTTCCCTTTCAGCACAGCTTCTGCTTCCACCTTCAGGGTGGCTCATGCTGGTTGCAGACTAGACAGCAAAAATGCCAGACACTTTTAAATTGGTCTTCTCACTTTACCTGTGGCTTGACTGGCTCAAGAAACAGCTGCTGCTGCCCCACTCCAGTTCTGAAAAGTTTCTGAAAGGTCTCCTCCCTTTCCTTGGCAGGTTGGTTTGCATGCCCTGCTGGAGAATCTTCACTAGATAACCCTGAAACTGCCAAATCCTCCACTCCCCCTGCTCCTCCGCTACTTCTTTTTTTGACAAATCTATTTGAGCAGACCGTAATGTATGAGAGAGGACTCCCATCTGTACAGATGCCAGTTCTCTCATGAATATTTGGTGTAGGGTGTGGCTAATACTGTGAGTAGGGGAGTCCTCAGTTATAAACCTAAGACCTCAGTTATAAACCAACTGGCATTACATACTGTTTCTTGTCTTCACAGCACCTGCATCTGCAGTACTGGAATAATAGTAATATTAGTTGTATTAGGGTTACACAGGAAATGTGTGTTTGATTTTAGTCAGGATTTACCCAATCCGCTCTTTCCGGATCAAACCTGGGCAATCTGTGTTCAAAGTCCATACATTTCCAAACTTGCAATGTGATACACAAACATGCTGAATGGCATGCCTACTCATACATTTGAAAAATGCATTAAAAAAACTTGTACTTCTAAAAAATGAACACAAACACACTCTGATCAATAGAGAAGAATGCATGCAGTTCAGAGATGCACACAATTGGTGCATAGCTTTGGAAAAACTGGTTTTTATGCAGCACATTGCAAAACTTGAAATCTAATATGGACTTGAGCCGGAACAAACTTAGCCTGCTGTGTCACACATTCCTAGGGTGGATTTCCTCTGATTCACTTCAGAATGGACTGGGAATTTTGAGCAAAAGTGGAAAATACAGAAAGCTTTAGTTTTTAAGTTAATAATTGCCAACACTAGGAGCCCCAAGCCCTCTTTTGTCATGCTTCTGGTGGTCAGTGAAGGAGATCGCTTTATTTTCCCATTTCTCTGGTGGCAGAGGGAGGGCGGTCTCATCCTGTGCTCCTCTTCTGCAGTGGCAGTGAGAGGAAGTGTGCCCCTCTTTTGCACCTGGAATGCTGTGAATTAAAATACCAGGAGCCCTGGAACATTCACTTTTCCAAAGACCTGAACATTGCAAACATGCTGTCATTGTGTTCCATGAATTAAAGAGATGATTGGAGAGTCAGGTGCAGTCCTCTTGGCTTAATGCTCCTACACCCAAGCAGTGGCCAGGTAAGTGGGTGGATGACTGACGGAGTGATGTCATTCAGATTACAGACTACCTACCTCCTTGGCCTGGATTTTGGTCTGGGTGAAAAATATTCTTCAGATTTTTAGCATAAT